TTGTGAAAAACCGGGTAATGAATCCCCGTCGGCCCAGATAAGACTTGGGATAAAGAAAATGTTAGTTAACACCCACTAAGTTTTCGAAAATGGTTTTGAAAATTTTATATTGTTTTGGAAAAATTCAAAATTTTCAGTAAAATCAAAGTGGGGTGTTACAATATATGATCAAAATCAAGCATAAATTATATATCATTTTCAAAACATAACTGAATTCATAAGAAAAACTCATAAAAAAAAACCAACTTATAAGAACATTGTTCAAAATTCATAACCAATATTTGAGTTCAGTGTAAATTACATTATAGTCTCCGTGAGCCATGCCCGGGCCTTTGTAACTATGAGAGTCTTAACTGAATCCTTCCAAGTTCCAACAACTAATTATCACCGTATGGGCCGTATACAAATCAAGAAAGAAAATTAAAAAGAAAACCAAACCAACACTTTGTGATTCTACAACAATCAAGATATAAAAATTAGTCCAACAAGTTTTTTTTGTTACTGTTATTATTCATCCAACTCGGGTTTTACGAATCAGCTACAGTTTGAGCCTCGCCAACCGGGCGGGCATTCTTGTTGTTGATGAGGGCTGGGTGGCCGTTCGAATCCAGCCCATAAATGTGGCCCATTTTGGCCCGTTTAGTCTCCAGATATCTCTTGTTGTCCTTGGTGATGGGGGTCACGAGTGGGACCCGGCCCGAAACAGCCAGCCCGTAACCCTTGAGCCCGACGTACTTTGCCGGATTGTTCGTCATCAGTTTCATGGTTCTAACCCCAAGGTCTCTCAGTATCTGTGCAAACATTATAATTTCAACTCTTTTACTGGGCTTAGGCAATATTTGCCAGAAGATGAGAGGCAGGCAGATATCTAAATATTTTACACTTACAGGCTACAAAATTACCTGTGCACCAATCCCATACTCTCTTGAGTCGACGGGCAGGCCCAACTCCTCGTTTGCCTCCACAGTGTCTCGCCCGTTGTCTTGCAGATTGTAGGCCCGTAGCTTGTGGCCCAAACCGATTCCCCTTCCCTCATGCCCACGTAAATAAACTAAAACGCCCCTGCCAGCAGCCTCGATCTGCTGCATCGCGAGCGCCAGCTGGTTCCCGCAGTCGCATCTGGCGGACCCAAATATGTCCCCTGTGAGGCACTCCGAGTGCACCCTCACCAGAATGTCTTCTCCATCACCAATATCACCCTGTTTTTACGAACCACAAATGTCATACAAAGAATAAAGTTTTTTTCTTCTTCGTTCTTTTTATTTTCATTTTTTCGCGATTTACCCAAACGATAGGGGCGTAAATTCTTGAACTCATCCCAAATGCATTATTATGTAAAAGAAAGAAAAAAAAAAACTGCCTTGCTACTCACTTTAACCATTGCGATATGCTCGATCCCGTCCAAGATTGATCGATAACAATAGGCTGTAAACGGACCCCATGCAGTTGGTATACGTGCGGCAGATGCATGTTCAACTAATCTATCCCTCTTTCTTCTATATCTGCAAATATACGGTTCATAAGCTTCTTTGGTAGCTTTTCAAACAAGCCCGTCTTGAAATTTTTATTTCAGTTGGCATATCAGCTAATTTTACCAAACACTTATATCATATAAGCTAGCTTTTCAGCCATACGTCATAAGCTATAAACTCAAAATTCACTTATAAGCTACCAACCAACTTAATAAGCTATCAATTAGTTTTACCAAACATAACCTAACTCGACAAAAATCAAATATCATTAAAAGAACATATATAGACTTACCTTATTAGGTCGGCAATAGATACAATTTTCAAATTTTCTCGATTCACAAATTCCCTAAGTGCAGGCAATCGAGCCATGGAGCCATCATCATCAACAATCTCGCACAAAACACCAGCATCACCTAATCCAGCCAGCATGGCAAGATCCACAGCAGCTTCTGTGTGCCCGGCTCTTTTCAGAACACCACCATCTCTGTACTTAAGCGGGAATATATGCCCGGGTCGGTTAAAATCCTCGGGCTTTGAATCTTTCGATGCAAGAGCCAATATTGTAGTTGCCCTGTCATGTGCTGACACACCTGTCGTTGTACCCTCTTTCGCGTCCTACAAAGATACCATCAGTAATTCCATAAAGTTTTAATGTCAACACTCCCAAAGCGAGTAAGCAGTAAAACTTAGAAAACTAAAACTAGACGACAACCGGTAAAAAAGACACGGTTTACTTATGACCAAAAAAACGATGCAAGAATTATTACCACTGAAACAGTGAAGGCAGTACGAAGCTTCTCCTCATTCTCCCGATGGTTTACCATTAAAGGCAGCTGCAACCTCTCTAAAGCCTCCTCTTTCATGCTCACACAAACTATTCCAGTCCCATGCTTCACAAAGAAAGCCATAGCCTCTGGCGTAACTTTCGAGGCTGCCATTATTAGGTCCCCTTCATTTTCTCTATCTTCATCGTCTACAACCACGACCATCTGCAAATATTTTTGGTCCAAAAATTAGTAATCAAAACGAAGTTCCATCAGAAAAGGAAAAAAAGAAAAAAGAAAAGAGAAAGAAAAAAACTAAACCTTTCCATGCCGAATGTCTTCAATAGCCTCTGCAATGGAAGAGAAGCCTTCTGAGGGCTGGTCGAGGTCGAACTCGTCATTTTCAGCAGGAAACCCGCTCGTGATGGGGCACACGTCAACCGAGAGTGTTCCTAATACCACAGAGTCGGACTGTACTTCAACTCCACCCGGCACATCATTGATAAGAATGCTGCTTGTGTCATTAAATCCAGTAGAGTGAAGGCGAAAGTCGTGTTCACCAGAGAACAGAGCCGGCTTAATTTTCCCACCGGGATTGATGCTTAAGCCTACTTTAGCACTCGGCGGCTTTCTTAAGGATTCTACACCATTCGTGTATTGCGGATTTCCACATGGGGCCCCAAAGAGTCTGAAATATTAGAATGCACAACATGAGAACAAAGTCAAGCTACAAATTTACTATGAAAAACTTATAACTTTCCTAAACTAACATAGCAGCTCAAATCATCCAACGCCTACGAGTAGAATCGCATAACTCAGGCCCGGAGATTCGTTTTCATTTTCTTATATTCTATCGAAACCCTCATCTTTGTGAAACACTCAAGATCAAGTAAAACAGAAAGAAACGAAACTCTTTACTTTTCGACTTTATTCCTTTAAAAGTTCAAAACCATCACAGATTTCTACTTCAGAACATAGGACAATTAAGACCTCTCAAACATCCTTAGCCAGAAAAACAAAAGACATGAACGAACAGAAATAAGACACGGTCAAAATAAGTTAAGTTCCCTTGCTTTTGCACAAGTCTGCAATTCAATTGGTATCATCAGCTCATCTACAGAAGACTACAGAGTATAGAATAATACATCTAACATAGATTTCAAATAGAGGGAGATTCTACGGTCCCGTTACGGAACCATTCCGTCGGGGTTTGTAACGGTTAGATCAACTATCCACGACAGTTACATGATAGATTTAACGGTTACAAATCCCGACGAAATAGTTCCGTAACGGGACTGTAGCATTTCCCTTCAAATAGAATTTGTCCTCTCAATTCCTACAACCTCTCAAGCTAATTAATAGAGATAAATGAGTACCCATATGCTTTTGATGAATCAGAAACCAATTGAAAAACACAGAAATGCAAGCAAAACCCTTCATTTTGGAGGCATTTTTCATGAGAATGAGCAAGAAAGATTGCATCTTTAAGCCTAAATAACAAAAACAAAACCAAATAAATATCAGAAAAAAAAAATAAAAAAAAAAAGGAAACAAGAGAGACTGACCGAGTACGAGCAAGCGAAGTCGAGGAGCAAGAAATATTAATGGACGCCATTTTCGTGTTCTGTTCAAGGCTCCAAACCACACTTAAATGGGTAATGAAAAAGAATA